TGTGTGTGTTTTTTTGTTTTTTTAGAGTAAAACTAATAGGACCAAGATTTCAACAACTAGAAATATTTGAATGGGGTTTACCAGTCACCTGGTTCACACGATCTCTCTAACTAAGGTGAAACTTAGGTCTCTTAATTAGTTCCACCTCTATTAGATTGGTGGTCAGATTATTTTCTCTTAGGTCTCTTAGTTCCACCTCTATATATAAAGTTCTAACATACAATTCATGTTTTTCTCTCTTAGTTTATGTTTTCAGGTGCTTATTCTAAGAAATCAATCACAACAACCACAAACACAAGCACACCCAAGAGACCTGAATTCCCACTGCAGTGTACCGAAGGAATTAATGTGACACAAGGTTGTCCAAGAACCTACCCTACCACACACGACCCCGCAAATCCTAGCCGTCCATCCAATCTCACATGCCCATCATACTTCCGATGGATCCACGAAGATCTACGGCCATGGAAAGAGACGGGAATCACGAGGGACATGACAGAGCGGGCCCGCATGACTGCGGATTTTAGGCTCTTGATCGTGGACGGCAAGGCTTACATAGAGAAGTATAGACAATCCTTTCAAACTAGGGATATGTTTACATTATGGGGCATTTTGCAGCTTCTAAGGGTGTACCCCGGTAGATTGCCTGACTTGGAGCTCATGTTTAATTGTGGTGATATGCCTGTCATCCCATCAAAGGACTTTCGGGGCCCAAATGCTAGCCCGCCGCCATCGTTTCATTATTGCGCGGATGAGGGGAGCTTGGATATTGTGTTCCCAGATTGGTCTTTTTGGGGCTGGTAAATATTTACTTATGTCTTATACATGTTATGTTTGCATGTGAAATGCCCTCTGTTTTTGTTTTTTGTTTACTTTAGGAACCATGTGTTATATATGAATTTGGGTTCTATTAATTTCTAATTTCTAGCCCATTTGAAAAGCAAAGAAGTAAAAACTCTGGCCCATAAATTGTTTGTATGAGATGTGTGACCCAAAACCCTTTTCATCTCCACCAACTTTGGCCCAAACATTTGAATTGGGTGAACCCAAAAAAAAAAGAAAAAAGAAAAAAAAAGAGATTTGAGAGGATAAATTAATTTTATTAATGAAATTTGTAGATGGGCTAATTTTAATTTTGGTAGGGCTGAGATCAATATAAAACCATGGAGAAGCAGTAAATATATTTTTCTTTGCCTGCATTGGGTTGTTAACATTGATTAATGATATATTATTCTGAATTCTGGGACTAATAATGCGCACCCAGAAGATTAATGATATATTATTATGAGTTCCTTTGGGGACAAGCAAAGGAAGCAACGAATTTTGCACACTGCATTAACGTAATATCTGTGGGCTGCTTGCCACTTGCTTTACTCACATTGAATTCGTAAGTCATAATCCGTCATCCGCCTATCGAGACAAAAATTCCGTTAGCAATAACTCCCAAAACTGATGTGGATTCCACATGCCAGAGACTCACTAAGTCATCAAAGTAACCTTATTTTGACCTCTTTTAAAAATATTTTATTTTAAATACATTCAAGTCAAGGACTGAGTATAGAGCAGGGCTATCTCATCTCAAGGTCTCTTGGAACTTTGGAAGAGAGCTTTGAAGCATAAACATGAAGCATTTGTGTGATTTCTTGGATGTGACAGGATTGCATAGGCATATTGCAGGAACAAGTTGGAGGCCTTTGAAGAAGAGAACTGTAACAACTACTCTAATCTTCTTGTTATTGTTGTTGATCTTCTTTGTTGCTGCGTTGGTATCTGCAGGCTGGATCGATGTTGTAAGTTCCATGAACTCCAATCGTGCTAGCTATATATAAAGTTCTAACATAGGCATTCTATCTTCTGTCATAGTGTTTTTGTGTGTGTGTTTTTTTGTTTTTTTAGAGTAAAACTAATAGGACCAAGATTTCAACAACTAGAAATATTTGAATGGGGTTTACCAGTCACCTGGTTCACACGATCTCTCTAACTAAGGTGAAACTTAGGTCTCTTAATTAGTTCCACCTCTATTAGATTGGTGGGCAGATTATTTTCTCTTAGGTCTCTTAGTTCCACCTCTATATATAAAGTTCTAACATACAATTCATGTTTTTCTCTCTTAGTTTATGTTTTCAGGTGCTTATTCTAAGAAATCAATCACAACAACCACAAACACAAGCACACCCAAGAGACCTGAATTCCCACTGCAGTGTACCGAAGGAATTAATGTGACACAAGGTTGTCCAAGAACCTACCCTACCACACACGACCCCGCAAATCCTAGCCGTCCATCCAATCTCACATGCCCATCATACTTCCGATGGATCCACGAAGATCTACGGCCATGGAAAGAGACGGGAATCACGAGGGACATGACAGAGCGGGCCCGCATGACTGCGGATTTTAGGCTCTTGATCGTGGACGGCAAGGCTTACATAGAGAAGTATAGACAATCCTTTCAAACTAGGGATATGTTTACATTATGGGGCATTTTGCAGCTTCTAAGGGTGTACCCCGGTAGATTGCCTGACTTGGAGCTCATGTTTAATTGTGGTGATATGCCTGTCATCCCATCAAAGGACTTTCGGGGCCCAAATGCTAGCCCGCCGCCATCGTTTCATTATTGCGCGGATGAGGGGAGCTTGGATATTGTGTTCCCAGATTGGTCTTTTTGGGGCTGGTAAATATTTACTTATGTCTTATACATGTTATGTTTGCATGTGAAATGCCCTCTGTTTTTGTTTTTTGTTTACTTTAGGAACCATGTGTTATATATGAATTTGGGTTCTATTAATTTCTAATTTCTAGCCCATTTGAAAAGCAAAGAAGTAAAAACTCTGGCCCATAAATTGTTTGTATGAGATGTGTGACCCAAAACCCTTTTCATCTCCACCAACTTTGGCCCAAACATTTGAATTGGGTGAACCCAAAAAAAAAAGAAAAAAGAAAAAAAAAGAGATTTGAGAGGATAAATTAATTTTATTAATGAAATTTGTAGATGGGCTAATTTTAATTTTGGTAGGGCTGAGATCAATATAAAACCATGGAGAAGTCTATTGCAAGGCATAAAAGAAGGCAATAAAAGAACAAAGTGGGAAGACAGGGTGCCCTATGCTTACTGGAAAGGTAACCCAAATGTGGCTCCAACCAGAAAGGACCTTCTCAAATGCAATGTCTCGGACAAAAATGACTGGAACACACGCCTATATGTTCAGGTGCCTCAACTTCTCTAACTATTATTATGTATAAAATGCAATCTTTTTATGTATTCATTTGTGCAATGTTTTGATCTTCTATTTCCAGAATTGGAAGAAAGAATCTAAAAAAGGGTTCAAGGATTCAAACCTAGAAAACCAGTGCAAGCAGAGGTAGTTTTTGCAATTTTTTTTGTTTTTGTTTTTTAAATTACATTTTCCAAATTTAAAATTTCCTTTGTTTTCTTTGTTTATGTATAGAGATTTGGTTTTTACAGGTACAAAATTTATATAGAAGGACGGGCATGGTCTGTAAGTGAAAAATACATCCTGGCATGTGATTCTATGACCTTGTATGTAAGGTCTCGTTATTACGATTTCTTCACGAGAGGCATGGAGCCATTGCGGCACTTTTGGCCTATTAGGGACAACAACAAGTGCACTTCTCTCAAGTTTGCTGTGGAATGGGGCAATAATCACAAAGACAAGGTTAGAACTTTAGCCGTGTGCTGATTTTTTATTTTTATTTTGTGTTAGACTGTAAATTTCAACTGCACATTCAAATGATTAACATTTGGTATCTTGTGAATATGACAGGCGAAGGCGATTGGGGAGGCTGCGAGCAACTTCATACAAGAAGATCTAAAGATGGACTATGTGTATGATTACATGTTTCATGTGCTAAATGAATATGCAAAGCTCTTGAAATTCAAACCAACTATACCTCCCAATGTAGTGGAACTGTGCTCAGAAAAAATGGCATGCCCTGCAACAGGTACATGGAAGAAGTTCATGGTGGAGTCTATGGTGGAGTCTCCAAGTGATGAGCTCCCATGCACTCTGCCTCCTCCGTATGATCCTCTGGCTCTCCGCGATTTTCTTGAGAGAAAGGCTAACTCAACTAGGCAAGTGGAAGCTTGGGAAAACGAATATTGGCAAAGTATTGAAAAAAAGCAATAGGTGTTATAAATATACAAATAATGGATGCCCACCATAGTTATATATAACTCATCAATGATATATGTATCAACTTACCATTGTAATATTGTAAGGAACTATTATGCCTATAAATAGGCATATGAATTAATAAGAAGATGAAGGAGAAACCGTAAGAACATTGCTATGGCTCTTTCTCCATATTTATACTCTCCTAAATCCTCTCTCAATTCCCTTAGTTTTACAACACATTATCAGCACAAATTTCTCATCAACTGAGGTTCTTGGAGAGTTCGAATCTTTGTATATCTCTTCCTTATAATTCTTATTGAATTTCAATTCATTTGTTTCACTAACATCCATATATGCTATTTTATGAAGTTTATGGCTAATGCTTTATTTGCACAAGGATTCTCCAAAGTTGAAGGTAAAAATACATATGGATGCTATAAAAGAAATTTTTGTTTTTAGTGTTTGATTAGATCACATCTCCCTAACCTTTTTATGCAGGATCTTCATCTTATATATATCATTCAATATAACATAAACATATTTATTGCTATAAATTTATATGTATAGTTTAGGGTACTTATATACACACAGATATATATAACACCATATATTATAACACTCACACAGATATATATATATATATATATATATAAAAGGTGGTGGTTTTATCCCCACATTTATTTTTTCACATATTTACTTTTATTTAAAGTATGTTGTAGAATTAATACCCATACAAGTACATTTATGTTATCGCATATTTATTTTTATTTAAAGTATGGTGTGGAATTAATGTTCATACAACAAGCAATTTACTTTATGAATTTATTTTACCGCACATTTACTTTTATTTAAAGGGTGGAGCGGGTTTATCGTCCATACTAGCAATTTATTTACAAGCAATTTATAGCAATTTATGTTAAGAATGGATTGTGTGATATGATGAGTTTTACCGCATACAGAGATCAAGACCAGAAAGTTCTTTGATCCTCATCATACAACTACATGAGAGCTGGCAATGTCAGAGTGAATACTCTGGTCTGTGCATGTTATGATCTTCATTGTGAAATTAATATGGTAATCGAGTAATACTTTGCACTAATTATTTAGAGCTTTTCAGTATATCATATCAATGTGGTTCGACAAGGACAGTTCTGCCAGCTTCAAGGAAATGGTCTGTGTTGGTCTAACAGGGGAACGTGCATTGCTTCACCTGTCGCGGCTGTCAATGCTTTAAAATGCACCTTTCAGCATATCATCTCTTCATGAAACAAGCTGGTAGGAGATTCACAGTTAATGTTTCGGTTCAGTTTGCTAACTAGCAGCAGCTGCACGGCTTTTTTCGTGAGCAAACTTTTAGTGCCACCCTGGATGAAGATTTGGTCCTCTGGTTTTAACTCATGTTGTTGATAGGAAAACTTCAAGTGGAAGTGTTACTAGAATGGTTATTTGAACATACAAGAAAAGTTAGACGAACGATACGAATATTATGGAGTGCTTGAATCAGTAAATATATTTTTCTTTGCCTGCATTGGGTTGTTAACATTGATTAATGATATATTATTCTGAATTCTGGGACTAATAATTCGCACCCAGAAGATTGGTTCTTTGTCTCCAATTATGAGTTCCTATGGGGGCAAGCAGAGGAAGCAAGGAATTTTGCACACTGCATTAACGTAATATCTGTGGCAAGCAGGCCACATGCTTTACTCGCTTTGAATTCAATGGATTATTTTGCAGGTTACGTACGATTTACTCTGAACTTCATAAGTCGTTTAACTTTGATAATCCGTTGACTTACTATTAAGCAGATAATCCGTCCCACACGGCAATTGTTGTGGCCGTGAGCCTAATTTCGTCCACAACCTATCTAGACTGTACACTGTACAGAAGTTTCACCCATTAGCAATAACTCAAAAAAAAAAAAAAAAGCAATAACTCACAAAAGTGATGTGGGGTCCACTACTAGTTGTGCGTCCCACATGCCGGCGAGTCTGTTTATGGGAGCACCTCGCATGTGCTTTTCCATATAATCACTTTAATCACTCCAAAACGAGCCCTTAGTGGGATTGTACGAACCATGAAAGCCTA